GAGGCCTCACCAGCACAGAGTGGAGGGGGGGGATAATTTCCCTCAACCTGCTGGCCATGCTTCCTTTAACTACCTTTGCTTCCCAACAGTGAAACCCCAGCTTTAAGTTACACCCACACCAAGTGGGATGAACAGGACAAGGGCAGCTTTTCAGCCTATAACACCACCACTAAGTACGTATGCAGGCCTCAGTCCTGGAAGTCACTCTGCAGTGTTAGAATGAGCAGTGGACCTGAATTTAGCTAGGTGCTACGAACACAGAGGGATTGACTTAGTTAACGAACTGAAATAGTAATTTAGCATTCAAAAATCCTAATTAACAAAATATTGGCGCCTAGTTTCCATAAGAGTATTTGAAAGAGTTTGCCACAGGGGTCTACCACACTTTAGACCAGTATGAGGTGTGAAGCTGAAGTAGGAGCAAAAGACAGAAAAAGGTCTTTTGTCTGAGGCTGAAGTCTGGCCCTGTCCCAGGCAACTGGGGAATGGAAGACTTGGAAGGGACCTACAACGAAAACCTGGTCCATGTGCCTGACCCCTTTAGGGCTGACCAAGTTGTTAAGGACATTGCCCAAACCCAACACTGACAGGCCGAGGGCATCAACCCCCTCTCTGGGAAGCCTGTTACAGTGTTTGACCACCCTCTCGGAAAAGACACCTTTCTGAAGTATAATCCTTTCCTCATGGAAGTCTCTTCCCACTCACTCACTTCTCTGGTGATTACTGTAAATTCGATCCTAAATTTATGATCTGTTTATATTCATTTTATGCAACAAATTCTTGGCATAAATAGCTCCTCCCCTTCTCTAGGTATACTTGTGCTACAGTCAGGCTTTCATCTGTTCCTTGACTGCTTTTATTAAGACTGTAAAGGTGATTCAACTGTTTGTCGTTCGTCCTCTGTTTTCCTACTAGTGCTGCTGGCTGAGCAACGTCGTTCACAGTTCTGTCGTGCTTAGGAACCCCTCTGGTGACACAGCACAGAACTGCACCTACAGTACCATGTTTTCAGCCCATCACCAGCGTTCAGTTGATGATTACAGCTTTCACACAGCCCCTATACTCATCTTTGATCCTTAAAACTCATGGCTTTGTGCTTCCTATTAAAATTTATTTCACTTAATACTACAGGCTTGGGAAGTCATCCAGTGGCTACAGCACATAGTCAACTTCTTAGGTCAGATACCATGGATGTCACGTTTGCCCTTCAAACATGTCACAATCGACTGTATGACCACGTCTCGGGACTGCAGCATTCATGCTGCCTTCCTCCCACAGGCCCTTCCTCTTCAGGCAGCTCTGCTTTAGCCTGTAGTCCAGTACATCATAGCTCTTCCCGCTTGTTTTGACTGGGCCATGCATCAAAGGCTTCAAAGCAGCCCAGAAATGCTGTATTGGGTTTTTAAATTAAAAAGAAACCAACCAACCAAAACACACTATTAAAGCAAGACCACGTTACTGTGGCAATATTAACTGGAACATCAATTCTTGGCATAAATAGCTCCTCCCCTTCTCTAGGTATACTTGTGCTACAGTCAGGCTTTCATCTGTTCCTTGACTGCTTTTATTAAGACTGTAAAGGTGATTCAACTGTTTGTCGTTCGTCCTCTGTTTTCTTACTAGTGCTGCTGGCTGAGCAACGTCGTTCACAGTTCTGTCGTGCTTAGGAACCCCTCTGGTGACACAGCACAGAACTGCACCTACAGTACCATGTTTTCAGCCCATCACCAGCGTTCAGTTGATGATTACAGCTTTCACACAGCCCCTATACTCATCTTTGATCCTTAAAACTCATGGCTTTGTGCTTCCTATTAAAATTTATTTCACTTAATACTACAGGCTTGGGAAGTCATCCAGTGGCTACAGCACATAGTCAACTTCTTAGGTCAGATACCATGGATGTCACGTTTGCCCTTCAAACATGTCACAATCGACTGTATGACCACGTCTCGGGACTGCAGCATTCATGCTGCCTTCCTCCCACAGGCCCTTCCTCTTCAGGCAGCTCTGCTTTAGCCTGTAGTCCAGTACATCATAGCTCTTCCCGCTTGTTTTGACTGGGCCATGCATCAAAGGCTTCAAAGCAGCCCAGAAATGCTGTATTGGGTTTTTAAATTAAAAAGAAACCAACCAACCAAAACACACTATTAAAGCAAGACCACGTTACTGTGGCAATATTAACTGGAACATCATCCCTCTGTACGTCTGCTTTGACACCTTTCCTTCTTGCGCAGATGTAAGC